ATGCTCCCTTCGTTTTTAATAAGTTAGTGAGGGGCAGGGCTATTTGAGCAAATGAGGGGATGAATTGACGGTAAAAGTTTGCAAAGCCCAGGAAACTTTGTAGTTGCTTTCTTGTGCGGGGTGGTGCCCAGTCTAATACTGCCCTGACCTTCTCTGGGTCCATTTCAATGCCTTGTGGGGATATGCGATAACCTAGGTACTCTATTTTTTCCTGGTGGAATTCGCATTTCGAGAGTTTGGCATATAGGTGGGCAGCTCGCAGTTTCTTTAAAACCGCTCTGACTAGGTTGACATGTTCCTCTTTTGATTCGGTGAAGATAAGAATGTCATCTAAGTAAACAAGGACCCCCTTAAATAGGTGCTCCCTTAGAACGTCATTGATTAATTGCATAAATACTGCGGGGCCCCCTTGTAATCCAAATGGCAAGACTTTGAATTGGTAGCACCCCACGGGGCAGTTAAATGCAGTTTTCCATTCATCCCCTTCCTTGATTCTTACGCGATAGTAAGCTTCCCTTAGGTCTAGTTTAGAAAAAAATTTCCCTTTCGAGAGGTGTGACAACATGTCTTTCATGAGAGGCAGAGGGTATAGATTGCTTTCACTGATTGTATTCAGGGCCCTATAATCCATGCATAAGCGTAAAGAGCCGTCCTTCTTTTCCCTAAAGAGGACCGGGGCAGCCACTTTAGGCTTGGCTGGTTCAATGAACCCCCTTTCTAGGTTTTTCTTTATGAATCTTTCCATTTTCTCCTTCTCTTTTGGGCTCATGGAGTATAATCTGGGCTTTGGGAGTTTTGCCCCAGGTTTGAATTCAATGGCACAGTCTGTGGGTCGGTGTGGGGGGAGCTCATCCGCCCTCTCCTCACTGAAAACGTCAGCCAGGTCTCTGTATTCCTCTGGTATCTCTGGTAGTCCCTTTTCCTCTCCCATGGATGCTTTTTCTGTTCTTGATTCCAGTAGCCCCCCTTGGGATTTTAAGTCCATAGGGTCCCCCTTCGGGAATTTGATTTCTGCCGTCCTCCAATTTATCCAGGGGTTCCATTTTTGTAACCATTCCATCCCTAAGATCATTGGGCATT